CCTACACTACCCACCCACTGGTCACTTAGTAGCCACCTTTGTGATCAGACTGGAAAAACACAGTAAATATGGTACTTGGTACGAACTGTGGTTTCAGGCATCCACTGAATGTATCCCCGTGCATAAGGGTGGACTACTATAATTCTAAATTTTAAATGGAAACGCACAAGACCTAGAATAGCCAAATTTTGAAAAAGAAGTACCACATTGGAGAACTTATACTACCTTTTTTAAAAACTTACTCTAGTTATTGTAGTCAAGACAGTGTAGCACTAGCATAAGGGTAGGAAAAACAAAGTGTGATGATCCACAGGAGCTTTCAAAGAAGAAGACAACAAGCTTGCATTGTCATGTTTGTATTTCCATTCTTGACAATTGGCACAACATTGAGGAAAGTCTCTTTCATAAATGGTGTTGGGAAAACTGCATATCCACATGTACAAAGAAGAATGAAATTAGACCCTTATTTCATATCATAGACAAAAATCAGCTCAAAATGGATTAAAAACTGACATGTAAGACCTGAAACTGTAAAACTGCCAGGCAACAAAAACAAAAACAGACAAATGAGATCACATCAAACTAAAAAGCTGCACAGCAAAGGAAACAACAGAGTGAAGAGGCAACCTAAAGAATGGGAGAAAATATTTTGCAAATCATACATCTGATAAGGGGTTATATCCAAAATATCTAAGGAACTCAACACTCAATAGCAAGAAAGAAAACAACCCAATTAAAATGTGGGCAAAGGACCTGAATAGATACTTCTCAAAAGACATACAAATGGCCAATAAGGTATATGAAAAAATGTCCAATATCACTAATATCAAGGAAATGCAAATTAAAACTACAATGAGATATCACCTCATCTATGAGAATGGCTATTATTAAAATGGCAAAAGGTAAGTAAGTGTTGGCAAGCATGTGGAGAAAAGAGAACCCTTGTACACTGCTGGTGGTAATGCAAATTGGTACAGCCTCTATGGAAAACAGTACAGAGGTTTCTCACAAACTACCATATGATCCAGCAATCCCACTACTGGTATATATCCAAAGGAAATGAAATCAGTATGTCAAAAAGATGTCTGTACTCCCATCTTCACTGCAGCATTATTCACGATAGCCAAGATATGGCATCAACCCAAGTGTCTGTGGACAAATGAATATAAAAAGAAAAGGTTGTACATATATACAATAGAATATATATATTTGGCCTTAAAAAAGAGGGACTGGTGCAACATACAACAACTTGGATAAACCTGGAGGACATTGTTAAGTGAAAGAAGCCAGACACAAAAATACTGAATGATCTCACTTATACATGGAATCTAAAAGAGTCGAACTCTTAGAAGCAGAGAGTAAAAGTGGTTCTCAGACATGGAGGTGATGTTCAAAGAACAAAAAATTTCAGTTAGACAGAAGTTCAAGAGCTCTATAGTATAACATGGTAACTAGAATTAATAACATTGTATTATATACTCAAAAATTACTGAAAGTGTTCTCGCCACAAAAAAATGAGGTAATATATATGTTAGTTAGCTTGATTTAGCCATTGCAAAAAATGAGGTAACATATATGTTAGTTAGCTTAATTTAGCCAATGCAGAATATGTATCTATTTCAAAACATGTTGTACGCCATAAATACATAAAAGTTTTATTTGTCAATTAAGGAATCAGCATAAACTGTACAATGCTTCAGAGAGACCTGATTAACATCTGAAGGCAACGTCTTTGGAAAACACCCACTGGGGAGGACTCTAATTACATATGTACCTAATAAAGGGGGAAAAAAACTCACCCTGGTTTTCAATTTTAAATTTTATTAAAGTACAGAGTTAACAAGTTTTGAGTTTTTCACATAGGAAAAGACTGGTCAACTTCAGATGCCTTATACAAAAATTAACATTCAAAAAACATATATAAATCCGTAATTGGTTTTGTGACTAAAGGGGAAAAATAACTATTTTAGAAGTTAGCAAAATTCTAACCATATCAGAGACCATTATAAATTTCAAACAGTAGATTTACCACACATATTGCATTTTCAAATTCTAATATAGCAAAACATAACCACATAATTTGGCTATAGCTTGTTGTTTCAGAAAAGTTTAAAAAATTAACAAAGTTATATCTATAAAACTTTTGTAGAGTTTTTTTTGCAAAGTAAAAAAGCTTAAATCTTTAATAAAGTAAAACAAAACAATTCTCTTAAATTTCTTATAAATAGCCCTCAAGACATATATTACACATCTGTTGTAAGCTTTCTTTACCTGAGAGAATTTCCCAGGATCCTTTATCCCAAAGGATTATCAAGAGTTCTTCCATCATGTCACTCACATGAATATGATGAGATCCTTCCACAGAAAAAGACTGGGACATACGCATTCTTGATCCACCCTTCCCCATTTAAGTTTTTCTCTGAAAGAATTTCATTTTTTTTAAAAAAAAACAGTCTTTGGTAAAGCCAAATATTTCAACCTTTCAGAATGACTACTTTTGTGAATGACTTACTGAGGAAGAAAAAAGGGAGAGAGATCTAAAGATCTGTGGGAACAGCTCTCCAGTCTGGTGAAGTCAAAGGTCCAACATTAGAGAACCCATCTCTGCCTGAAACGCAAAACTAAGTTTATTAGCAAGTTACAGAGAATATCCTACAGAGAATCCTGTAAGCCAAGTGGCTACTGCATTGTCCTTGATGAAGGAGGCCCCGGGGTCCTTTCTGGGTGGGCAGGGTCTTACTTAGTCCAAGGCCAGTCCCTTCCTCATTGTAAGTTAAGCCCTCTTTCATTTTGAAGAGGAACAGGACATGCGCGTACACCAAAATGGGACACTATTTAGAAAGGCAATGAAGGGAGGGGAAAAGCCCAGGCAGCTTAAACACAGGCTCTGGAATTCCCTTCACAGGGTAACATGAAGCACCAATGGTGGTAAAACTTGTGGCAAAAATTAAATAACTACATCATCTTAAAAAGGCAGAGGGTGACAATGTTGGGATAAGCTTGGGGAATTAACACCACACTGAGGTCATTCATAACGTAGGACCCTCTGAGGAAATGGAAACAAGCAATGTCGTATGGCAGAGAGAATCCCAAATTCCCAAAAACCCCACCCTCCACACAGCCCCACATGCACCGTCTGTCTCCTCCACAAAGCAGCTCCAAATACCTCTGGCAAACAATTACTTCAGACAATTTCTTAGGAAACCGTGAGGACAAAAACAAAACCAATTAAATAGTATTTTAAAAAAAAGCTCAACTGGGTAGGAGAGTGATAAGGTTTCCAAAGTCTCATAATAGAAATAGTATCCAGTCTTCAGTCAGGTAACACATCTAGGTAGAACACTCCGGTAAGAACCGCTCCTCCTACTCAGTGTTTGTACTCAGGAAAGTGAGAGGGAAAAATTTTCCACATCAGATGAATGACACAGAGAAACGTATACATGCAATTTTTAAAAATCTTCTTCAACTTTCATTGCTAAAGGTGTCTGACCAGCAGCTTCTGGGAATACACTTTTTAAATCCTGTACAAAAAGTTGTAGGAACCAAAGGTCTATTATTTTAAAAAGTTATCAGTGAGTTAATCAACTTAACATCACTATTATAGCAACTCAAAGCAATTGGCACAATTTTTCCAGTTTCTTAAATCATAATAGCACAAAAATGTACACTCTTTAAACCCATGAATGTTGACTCTTCACCTGAGTATTGTTTGTCGCAATTAATAATCATTAATGTCAACTTATTTATATGCCATCCGTCCTCAGAGTCGTACATCCACCTCTTTTTCAGTCATTCAGATAAATCTGCTAACATTTTCAGTTGGGAATAAAAATCAGAGCAACTGGAACTCTTCCTCTGGCATCAGATCAGCCTTCAGAAGGGAACTTATGCCACAAGACTTGCGTAGCTAGAAAACGTGGTCCGGCTGGGCTGGCCCCAGAAGGAAGCTACAAGGGCCTTCCACCGGCAACGTTCCCTGTTTGTGTTTCCCTGAGCTGCTTTCTGCAGAGGAAAGGGGGCTAACAAAGGCCAGGCAAGGAATACATGGCCTTGTCAGCTCAACCTTGACCTCGTGGAAGGGCCAGTTCTAAAGCTGTGTCAACTGGCTGCCAGACCCAGCTGAGAAGGCAAATCAAGGACTCTACTAGACCCCAGCAGGAGGGAAACACAATGACACCAGTTAGGAACATGACCCTGGCTCTTGATCTGCTTTTCTCATGGTGTCTCCTGAAGACAGTCTTGGCTCACCCAGAGCCCCAAGTCACTGCGCCACCCACCGTGTGTGACATACAGCCCCACTCCCCAAGCCTGGTCCTGGCCCACAGAGCGTCCACTGCCACTGGCCTAACTAGGATGTCCTGGGTTATAGCACAGGGCTATTCACTTTGAGACTCCAGAGGGATCTTTGAACTGCTGATTACAAAGACCTTCTGCCCTTCAAAAAGAAATTTGATGAAGTTTACCAAACAATGCTCTCTTACACACACAGAGTGCCTTTTAAAACTGAATCTCAAACACTGTAAATAGCAACGTTCTAAAGGAATTCATCTCCTGTGTTTGGTTCTCCCTTGGTTTTCTTGGGAGGAGGGCAAAGAAGTGAATAGAAATGAAGAGTTGACAATTTCTCCCATCAGCATTTTGGCACACAGGAGCCCAGCTCAGGTGGGTCCCAATTCCACCCAACTTGTATAGTAGGCCACAGAAAAAACATCTAGGCTGTCCTTTTATTCTCAGACCCTTGCTTCCAGGGAACTCAGAAGATTCTTTCTACCCTGCATGAAATACTAACTGGAGAGCCCCTAGGTATCTCCACTGGGTGTCTTTAACACATTGAGTGCCACACTAGAAAAATAAATTTTTCCTTGGGGCCACGGTTTTATTAAAACAAAACGTTCCTTTCTAGTTTGTTATTTTTTATTGTTTTCTGTATGTGAGTTATATGCAATGCAATCCACATTTTTAGAACTAAATTGTCGGTGTTAATTATAACAATAAGAACATCAATAAGTAAGACTTACATGAACCAACTGCAGGGTTTTGCTTCACCAGGCCCCAAGCTCAAAACAACAGACAGGGCAGTCAATGCGCCAATGGACTTGGCACTGCGCACACCTCTGCCCTGACGAAGAACATCAACACTGAAAACGGCACACCTTGGGTAGCTGCCGACAGTCACTGTGGGTATTACTTTACAAGTACGTGTTTTGGAAGTTTCTGTGGAGGTTGTCTATGGCTTAATTAAATACCCCCAACCACCTACCTTTCTGAAAGTGTATTTGGTCACTTCCACAGCTTGTCTAACAGGCCGGATCTGCCTGAGGGCTGTGTGAGGTGGTGCCTGGGATCCTCACCTCAGGAAATTCTCCCCTCGGTAAATCTACCAAGGAAACCATAGTGGTCACGTGGATCTGGAAAACAAAAGCTCTTTTGCTCTGACAATCTCAAAGGCCTCAAGGTGGAGGAGGAACGGAGGGGCTGACCCTAACGACCGAAAGAGGGGTGCAGGGGTGCAGCAGGCTTCGTCAGGAAGCATCTTTTCAGGTAAGGTCCTTAGTTATTATTGTTTACGGCACAAACAGGTGAGAGTTATAGCCCTCCATCGCATAGGCAAAGGAAACAACATGAATCTTGTTCTATAATCGTGTGAACAACAACACAGACAAGCGCCACACTTATTGCAGTAACTCGAACCAGGTAGTGATAACACGGTGGGGAAACACCCGGTGGAGATCGGGCAAATTGTGCTTTTTCACATTATTATTGAATACAAAGATGCTGAGCCCGGAAAGGAAGAGGAGATCCCTGGGAAGGGAGTCAAGTCTGTGATTCCCAGCATCACACCCTCACAGGGAAGCGGCGTGTACCCTGTAAATATCAGGGGCCCTGCGGGCCGAGTCCTGTGCTCAAAGCCCACTGGGGATGAGGCACCAGGAAGGAGAAGTGAGAGGGGTCTGGATTCTATCAAGGGCCGGGGGCTCAAAATTTTGGCATGTTTTGCAATTCCAAGGATGAGAATGACAGGCCACACAAGATAGGTTTTTATCCCCGTGAAAGGACATTGTGCCCCGAATTCTGTTTTAGTAAAAACGTGCAGAAGGAAAATACCAACATAACTACTATCCAGTTTCTAGCAGTAAGACAAATAAAAACACATATTATCGCCCATAATCAGTTTGGCTGAAAATTTCAAATCCTTTGGGACAAATTGGTTTTTTCTTTTTGAATTCACAATTAAAAAGCTGATCAGGAGATTTTTTTCTGAAAGCCTTTTCAGACCCACTCAAGCACAGGGCACCAGTCACTGCTCGAACCCCCGGGGCACTGTGCAAAGGACGTCTTCACACGGCTGCAGGCCTGCCAAGCTGAGGGCCCTGCTGACATCCTCACACGGAGAAGTGCGGAGCAGGACGGCAGAGAGGAGCGACCAGCGTCCCCAGGTACAGCAGCACGCAGATCCAGCAGGAGGCCATCTTGACCCAGAAGATGGACGGGCTCCCGCTCAAGAAGGTTTCGATGTGGGCGCTTTCATAGCTGTGGAGACAAAAGACCCAGCTGTGGTTGGAGCAGGAACAGTGGAAGGCGGGGGGGGTGTCTAGTTCACTGTCTCCCTGCTTCCTGTCCCACCCCCGGCCTTTCTTTTTCCTTTTTTAACAACTCAATTGTGATATAGTTCACACCCATTTCGGTACACACAGTTCAACGGCTTTTAATATGTGCCTAGACAGACGTGTGCAGCTGTCACCCCAATCCATTTTAGAACATTCTCATCACCGCAGAAAGAAATCCTGCACCCCTTAGCTGCCTTCCTCTTCTTCCCACTGCCCCCATCACCCTGCATTCACCAATCTCATCTACTTTCTGTCTCTATGGATTTGCCTAGTCTGCACAGGTGATATAAAAGGAATCACGCGGCCTCTTATAACTGGCTTTTTCTACTCAGCAAACTATCTTCAAGGCTCACCCATGTAGTAGCATGTATGAGCACCCCATTCCCTTATATTGCTTCATTGCATGGATATGGCACGTTTTGTTTATCCATTCACCAGATGATGGACATTTGTGTTGTTTCCACTTTTTGGCTATTATGAATAATGCTGCTATGAACATTAGTGTGCAAGTTTCTGTGCAGACATATTTTTCCTTTTGTCTTGGGTATATACTTAGGAGCAGGATCGCTGAATCATATCATAATTCTGTTTTAACTGTTTAACGAACTGCGGAACTGTTTTCCAAAGCAGCTTCATTTTACATTCCTACCAACAATGTAAGAGGGTTCGAATTTCTCAACTTCCTCGACGTTTGTTATTATCTGCCTTTTTAATTATAGATCCCTCCAGCCAATGAAGTCTTCCCCAATCACTGTGTAGAAACTGCCACCCCCGCCATCCCCACCCTGCTGGGTATTCTTCCTTCCCCTTCCTCATTTTATTTTTCTCCCCAGTACTCACCACCGTCTGACACACTGTATTTGATTTGAGTCACGGTCTGTCTCTCCCACTAGACTACAAGCCCTGCCACCTAGAACACTGAGGCACACAGGAGCCACTGCACATGTGCTGAATAATGAATAAAGGAAAGCGCAATGGGCCTAAATCGCCACGCCTAACTTATCAAACAAATTATGGTACAACTCAAACTTTGGATCTGTAGAGAAAGTATGAATCTCTGTACAGTGACAGGGAAAGCCAGGCCCATCATGTACGCCAAGTTAAAATAAAAAAAAAAAAAAACCTCAAGAGGGAAAACATGTGTAATGTCATTTATGTTAAGAAAAATTCCACAGGCTTGTAAATGCATAGAGAAGGAATGAAAGGATACACACCATAGCAGTGGTTATCTGAGTATGTGTGGAGGTGTCAGTTTGTCACTTTTCATAATTCCACATTGGTTCATTTTGTAAAAAAGATGTTTCAAACTTTGTTATGAAAATGTAGGGAAAATGTAGGGAAAAAATGGGAGAAAAGAGACACACACAAAATTTGAAGTAGGGGAAAAAAAGGGATATTTTCTCTTTCTTAGAGGCACATGATTGTTTAGGAATTTCACATTTTTGCTCCATTACTATTACTATGTTTTCCAGAGTGCCCATTTGGAGCTCACCTTCCATCCTTAAAGTTGCAGTATGCATCACCAATCTCCAGGCTTAAAAACATACCAATCGACTGTTAAGAACTCAGAACTGCTTCCTGTAAAGGTTGTGAGTGCAGCGGAACTGAGACAAGATTTAGGGAGATTTGCTGAGTGTCCCAGTATTTTATTTTATTTTTTTTAAAGATGGGGTCTCTCTATGTTGCCCAGGCTGGTCTCGAACACTTGGCCTCAAGCAATCCTCCTACCTCAGCCTCCCAAGTCTCTGGGATTACAGGTGTGAGCCACCACACCCAGCCTGTTTAAGCACTTTAACAAAGAGTACTCTAAACTTTAAGACTGCCCCTTCAAAAATGTCTAAGCAAAGGGCCACTCACTTGAACCAGCTGGTGATGGTCATCATCACATAGAGGGAAGCCAAGAAGAACACGAAGTGGAAATAGGAATAGTTATAGACGGTGCCTCTCTTCTCGTCATAAATGACTCGTGGTCCCTCCTTTACCTGCTCCTGCTCTTCAGTGTCTGTGAATCACAGAGGGAGCCCAAGTTCAACAAGTGAACACACGAGAACTGAACCGTTTAGCAAAGCCAACTCACGAATTCAATGTCAGGGGATGTTGAGTAGAAAAGAGGTAAAAAAGCCACCTGTACCCTCAGGCAACTCAAATCTGTCCCATGAGCACAAAACCCCACCCTACCCCAGTAACTTCTGTAACAGGATAAGTTACCTAATGTCACATTTATTTTAACAGAGCAGAAGAGAGCCCTAAAAGACATAAGACTTATTATAAACCTAGCAGAAAGTGAGCATAGACCAAGAATTCTCAAGCTCTTGGAATCCTTGGAATCCTCTAATCCAAGAAGGAAAGTAAGCTGAAGGACAGAAATGGCCCCAAAATATTATTTTGAGGACCTTGTGGTATTTTCCAAATTATTCCTTTAAAAAAAGAGTATGTTTGCTTCTAGATCTCACCATATAATTTAACTTATGTATGAGCCAAAATATAGACTGACTCTCCTTGCCAGAATACCAACACAAACAAACAAAACCCAGCTACCCCTGAGGAAGAATGTGAAAGTATATAAACAGTAAACCAGTTTTGGAATAAAAATTTTCCCCTTACTATCCAACTCATTTGTGTCTGAATCCCAACTGCCTACAGCCTAGAGCTACAGGTCTGCAGGGCCACACAGATGAAAGAATAGAAGTGCTCTGCGTACCCTCTCCACTGGGATCGAAGCAAAAACAGCACCGAGCTACCTGTGAAAGCAAAAGAGACAAAGTCAGGCAGCTTGTTTTCTATTCCCTCCCTCCACATCAGCAAGGCACAGGGGGCCACCTACCTGCCACACCTTCCCCTACTTGAGCCACATCCCACGCCCTGAACTACACGCTTTATTCCTTCCAGAGGTTTTGACTAAACATCTGTTCTTTCCCAGATGTGCTGGGTGCTGGGGACAGGAAATACCATGGATGGAGATGTGCCACCGGGTCCCCTTCAAAGGACGTGGAGCTCACTCCTGCTGGGAACAGAGCCTCCAGGCGTCAGCCCCTTTACCCTTCCTGGGGAGGCCCCACTGAATAGCTGATGACAGTAGCGGGATAAAGGCCCCCACTCTGACCCCCGGGGACGACTCTGATGCACAAGCTCTGGAGCACCCCCTGGGGGGAGCGAGGCTCTGTCAGCCTGCACCGCCCTTCAGCTTCACTTTCTACCCAATTTTGCCTCCTTCGCCCTCCTCCCTTCCACATGCTCTGATTCCTAATAAATATCCTGACTGACCAGCTCTGCCTGGGTGTCCGCTTCTGCAGAACTCAGTGTGGACCATACAACGAACACAAGGGCCACTCTCCTGCACCCCCTGCCTTCCGGGGCTTTCCTTTCCATGCTGCTTCATGAAATCCTCTTCAACCTCCAAGGCTGGGATTCCTATCCTGTCTACAGTTGAGGAAACTGAGGTCAGGCAGGTTAAATAACTGGCCCAAGTCACCAAAGTAGCTTAGTGACAGAGGGAGACACACCAATGCAGGATGGGGACTCCGAGGTCCACGATTCACAACTGGTGACGCGCGGTATCTAGGATATGGTGGGGCCGAGGAACGTGGAAGCAGGAGGCCTGCCCACGTTCCCTACGACAACCAGCTGCTGCGCTGGCCGTGGACAGGGATGGACGGGATGCCTTCGAAGCATCTTTGGTACCTTTCGAATTTCATTTCGTTATTTCTTACCTACTCGAAACAGTGAACTTAATTTTTAAAAATCAGGTTATGAAAAATTAGTTCACGATTCCAGAAGGACGCCAGTAAACAGAGTAAGAAAGTACCAGGTACCGAGACAGTCTGGGAAGTACTGGGTCCTCGGCGCTTTCTGGCTGAAGACATTTGAACTGCAAAGAGCAGAGAGCCTGGGACAAGGACATGGCAGCTGAGCCCTCGTCCCATTTGCACCTCAAGGCCAAGCCCCTGTTTCCCTGCTTGTCGAGGAAACCTGTAATAGAGGTTTTAGCCTTGACAGGACCTTGGGTCAAGTGGCACAGTCGAAAAGTCACAGATTCATTCAGCGGGCCTAAGATACAGGATGCTAGGGTCCCAGTTCCTTTGAAGCTTAAGTTGCCACAAGAAACTAACAACTCTCCCTTTCAAAGTTGTACCCTGTGAAACGTGATGCAGGAGAGCAAGGCGACTTCCACCCTGCATACTCTCCAGTTCAGAAGGAAACACTGGGACGTTTTTCCTTGGACTGAGAAGAAAAACATCCTCTCTTAAATCTAACTTAGAGACTTGCTGTTCTCTGAGCTTGAACTCTGTACACAATAGGGACATTGAAACCATAACGGTCCAGCCTCAGCAGGTGGTCACCCAGTCAGTGGTGAGAACAAACGCCTGCCTTCTAGAGACCATTCTCTTCTGCATAACAGGCAGTAACGTATTCAAACTCGGCACAGTTTTCTCCTTGAAGCGACAGAAAGAGCTGGTGAATGACGCTGGCAGATTGACAAACTTTCATAACGGTTCCCTATCTCCAGGTCAGGTGCAGGAAAGACCGTCCCCTGACACCCAGCTGCAGAGTAAACTGCCTGTATCTGGACAGATACCAGGATTCTTCCATCCAGAGGAAGCTATTAGGATGCAGCCGGTGGCCGGACACCACACCAGGTCAGCAGCAAAGGTCAGGGCACAGTCCCCAAGCCCTTGGGCAGCCGGGGCCAAGGACACAGACTCTGGGGCTGAAGTGTATGGTCTCTATCCTGGCAAATGGAAACCTGCAAGGTTTAAATGACTTAATTTTTCTGTTTTTCTCCTCTTTAAAATGGAGATAATAGCACCTCCCTGGGTTTTGATGAAGATTAAATGAAGTAACATATGAAGAGCCTAGAAGCGTGCCAGCACGTGGCAAGTGCTGTTAAGTCTTAGCCATCACTGGAACCCCTGGTTCTTTCCATTCTTGGGTCAGGGCTGAGGCTTTTCCTGGCTGCCTCCATGTGATTAGACCTTTCTCACCTTGGAGGATGGTCCTCTGAGAGGCCCAGAAAGACTTCTGCACAATTAACAAAATAACAGACATTTCATTGACCAACAGGCATCAGCTGAACCTCCTGATTCTTTGGATGTGTGGATGAAAGGCCTCACTAAGAGCCTGAAACCAATGTGTTTATCATTCATAATTCTTTACCCTGTGAAACGCCTGCCTGATGAAACTGACGCACAGTTAAACGAATTAATGTACCTACAGCATTCAGCGCGGTATCTGGCACAGAGCAGATACAGTTCCCTCCCTTCCTGCCTTTCTCTCTTCCTTCTGAACAGCTGTTACATAATCTCACAGTCATGCTATGTATGAAGGGCACGGACAGGTACAAACAGATGAATAGACTAGAAATAAACCCACCCACACTCCATTATGACAGAGGAAAAGAGTAGGGTGGCAGCCTGACAAGGTCACCCCCAAGCCTCTGGCAGGGGGTGGGCAGCAGGATGTCACACAATAGGCCAGCTTTGCTGGAGGAAAATCGAGAACCAATTGATTCATTTGAATCCCATGGTACACACAGGAAAACATTTCTTTTCCGATACCCAAATTTTCTTTCTTGAGCAGAAAAACAGGATCATGGAGTGCAGACTGATTAAAGACACAAATAAACACAAAAGGTCCTCCTGCGAAATGGGTCTCTTGAAATGAAGCAGGACAGGCAAAGGAAATGAACTTACTTCCAGTTCAGGAGCTGCGTAGCGCCCCTGCAGGGCATCAGAACTTGATCTTGTTGTGGATGTCAAGCTAAGAAATAAACAGAAAAGTCAGCAGGGCTCATTAACATGCTATATCACATGGACTAGCGGGACAGCTGGGTGGCCAGCGCTCCAATGAGAGGCTCGCTGTAACCTACAGTTCAGGCTGACGAAATAAAAGCAGTCTATTTCAACATCCCACTTTATTCCCGAACTGGCTGGCTGATTCTATGGTTGATGCCTTTTTTACACAGATTGTTATTAGATCACTTCATGCAAAGAGAATTTTGTAGGTAGTGAAGTAAGATGGCTTTTGGTCCCGTATCTTGGTTTCCAGTATTGGTTTTTGCCTCTCCTCCCTCAAACACAGTAATAATTTTCTAATTTCACTTTATCTTTCCCTCCATTTGAGGGGATCAAAAGGGATAACAGAGCCCAGAGATGGCAATAGAAAGCAGGGGCACGAAAGCAAAGGTCACGGTTATTTACTGCGACGGTCAGCCTATGGCACCACGAGGTTTTCTGTTTGGAAATTTAACATAGAGTAGCTGTCAGTGTGATAAAAAAAAATTCTTCCTGTCAGTGTCCCCATACCTAGAGACGTCAAATGTTAGAAAATTTGGCTTACAGGGTGAAAGAATTTATTTTTCCTAAAAACAAAAATGTGGCAACATTTCAAGCAAGTAGAATTATACACATATCTGAGGGTTCCAGCTAACTTTATAGATGCATTTAGCAAATATTTACTGGAAGGCTACTATGTGTCAGGCCTGTTCTAAGCACTGGGGATTCACTGGTGAGAAGGGTAGAAACCCCACCCTCATGCAGCCTCTGAGCTTCCCGGACAGGCCGGGCAGCGTTGGTGTTCAAGCAGCTGGTCTGCTGGTGGGCATTCATCTCAACCAAATGAGCCCCGGGGGGCAACACTGCCTTCTCAGTGTGTTCTCGTCTACTTTCCCAGGGAGGGAAGAGATCAATGAGATGCACAAAAATGGTAAGACGCCTTCCTTACAAAGAGGTCCACTGGGATCCAAGCACATCTCTTCTCTTGTGGTCCGCTCAAGTATAATAATATCACTTTCATTTTGGCTTTGAACTGATGGATGCTGATCTAGGCCCTTCCCGACTGGGAGCCTGGTCAGGGGAGCGACAGAAACATTTCCCAGTGGCTGTGCCCCCAAGGAACACATGTGTCCTGTTGCATTTAAGAGCAGCCCATGTTTTGTAAATACAAGTTACGATTCAGTAGAATATATACCAGGGAAAATATTTTCCTGTAAGGAAAACTGTTAATTTTTAGTTTTAAGAAAAGATCAGTATCTGAAATTTTCATCTGAAAGATAGCATTCATTGTTTAAAATAGAGTTAGAATAAATATTCCATTTTATAAATTCTTTGGACTAAAATGGTTTCTGAAAAACAAAGTTTTTGATTCTGGTTCCTTTTCCACTTCACTTCACCATTGAAGAGCACTAAAATGGGGAAGGTTTTGTTTTTATTTCTAAAACTATCTACATTCAGTTCATCATTAGTGCCACGTGACTTCTACAAATAGATGTTACCCTAAATTAAGGTCTTTATTCAATCATAGCCTTTCCCCATGAAACACTCTTCTTGGAATTATCAAAAAAAGATTGTATTATAAGCTCTTTAAGCCTAGGAAATTCTCATTGTCTGCATTCAGGCTGTTATTACAAAGACCCATCTGTTTGGTCGGCGCCGCACAAATTGCTATAAAACAATTCCTGGGTTACCCATAACTTCTCTTCTGGGGCTAAGGTATGTGTGACTTTAACTCGGATCTTCCCACAGGGGCAGGGGGAGACTAACAGCATTGTTATGATGCTTTATCATAGGGAGAACATCTAACACACCGTAGTGTGTTTGCTATCTCTGGCCCTGTCCCACAAAATGCCAGCAATGTCTTGCAGTCACTGTGACAGCAAAAAAAAAAAAAAAGGCTTTTCCCTTCCCCCACCTGCAACACTGCAGCGTCCGGAACCCCTTCCGTGTGGGCAGAATGGGGCACAAGTCAGGTGCCACGCAGCACCTGTGCTGCAGTTGCTTTTGGAGCTTTGCTGGACCACAGAAAATCTCTGAAGAACAGGTACAAACTTCCCTGTTAGACATAACAGATTCTGCCTCCCTGACAAGCTTACAGGGCAAGCACTTGATAGATCTCATGACTATCCCCAGCCTTACTGTGATGAAGCTCGGTCATGTTCCCACTGCGCTACATAATCAGTGACTCAGAGCCCCCAAAGAAGACCCAAGTTCTGTGTGAGTAGGGGGTGCGGGGTGAGGGGACACACCATGCTACTGATGCGGAGCTGGCAGGTCAGGCAGAGGCAGGATTGCCAAGGTGAGGATACAAACCTCCCCATTACATTTTTTTTTTTTTTGAGACAGAGTCTCACTTGTTGCCCTTGCTAGAGTGCCGTGGCTTCAGCCTAGCTCACAGCAACCTCAAACTCCTGGGCTCAAGCGATCCTTCTGCCTCAGCCTCCCGAGTAGCTGGGACTACAGGCATGTGCCACCATGGCTGGCTAATTTTTTCTATACAGATTTTTAGCTGTCCAATTAATTTCTTTCTATTTTTGGTAGAGACGGGGTCTCGCTCTTGCTCAGGCTGGTCTCGAACTCCTGAGCTCAAACAATCCGCCCGCCTCGGCCTCCCAGAGTGCTAGGATTACAGGCGTGAGCCACCGCGCCCGGCCTCCCATTACATTTTTTCCCTTAAAGTAGCAGGCCCAGAACATACCAAAAGAATAAATAGCCCTACTTGATTTTCCAGTTTTTCTCAGTGGAAGCCAATCTTCTCTGCAACACCATCATAACAACCTTGTACCTATTTCGACATGGCCTGCTGTGCAGCTGCGAATATCCCATTTTGAACTAGGAAGCTGTCCGGCATTTAATAAAGATTTGTAGTTTTTCTAATTTTATATTCAAAAAGATGTTTTCAAAGACAGCTTAAACATTAAGTTTTTTTCTCTTAAACATAGCTAAAAGTGAAATAGCCAGGAAATATTTTATAGCACAATTGCTTCCTAATAGTATAATTATGCAAGTCATCCAGCTTATCTTTTGCCCAAAAGAAGGACAGACATTATTCCAAGCCATTTCGGGAAAAAGAGAGAGAGAGAGAGATTATCCACCGGTATCCCTAAATACTCCAGCAAAGGAGACTCAAGGAAAGGTTTCCTGGAAGGGAGTAGAGAGCAACAGGAATAGCTCCAAGCCTCTGTTTCCTCATCTGTATTAAAACAATGATGAGACTGAACCTGATCAACTCCAGGATCCTGCCCAGCCTGACAGTTTGAGCTTGAAGGCAGCAGAATAACAACTTCAGTCAAAATCTGCAGACCAAGGAGGGAATTAAGGAATAGCTGGTGGAAGCCAGGGCTTGCTGCAGCAAGGACCCAGGACTAAAGGGGTATGGACGGATGGGCCTATAGAAAGAGCCATCAGGGAACTGCCGCAGTGGCCAAGGTGAGGGCCTACATGGGTTCGAGCTGTGACGTCCTTCACAGCAATCATTCCTGGGTGCAACAGAACGAGTCTCTGGAGAAAAGGCAGCCCCAGTCTGAAAGCCAGGAGCTACATTTTGGCTGAGCCGAGACAACAAGGAGTACAATACATGCCTAGGGAATGCCCTCGCAGCAGGACTCAGGACACAGATGGTCCCAGAAGAAATAAGTGTTTGGTGGGCAGTGAGGAAAGTAGAGCAAATCTTCCAGCTTTCCATAACCTTACAGAAAATGAAAGTTGCTGGTTACTTCTCCCTCTAATCAACATACTGCCTATAGTCTCTGGCTTCCTACAATTTCTACCAAGAATTCTAGAAATTCCTGCAATCATGTTCGAATGTTAGTTCCTGCCCAGACAATGTGGCCTCTTTTTGTAACATCCTCCAACCTTCTATGCCTCTGAGTCAGGAAGGAAAACGTAAATTCTAAGTCAAGATTTGAAAAACCCCTAATTGGGCAGGCTCCCACCCTTGGCAGCATTCCTTTCGTCCCAGGCCCTCCTAAGCCTGAATTCATGTTCTCCTGGAGCTGCAGAAAACATCAATCACACTGACCCCTGACACGCTACCTCGGAGGAGGCATAAACTGCCCATCCCCACGGAGTGAGTTCCTGCTCATGGATCACAGAAGCATCCCACGGAACAAGCTGGTATTCTTCATGTCCACTTCGTGAAAGCTGCTGTTTTATGTCTCCTCATCCCATCCGGCACTACAGTTTTGTAGTTTAATTAATAGCATTCGATAATAACATTTGTTGCTGGCATTTAGACAGATTTTAGGTAGCAGCTGTCAGCTTTGAAAATTGATATCTTTTGGGAATATGAGACTAGCCCTTGCCAACCTCCACTATGGAGCCTCGATTCTCAGAGAGACAACATTTATGTATCATCTCTCACTCAAGGGCAGGCTTAAGGGCAGCTGAAAAGTGAATCTTCACACCTACTAGCAACTGAAAGTCTGAGAGGGCGAAAAGTCCACGTTGCAAAGTAACTCTACGTGTGGTAATTTTATACAACACACTAAGTAGAATTTTTGCCATCTTTTCTATTGACGTGTATATGGCAAATCCAAACTCTATTTTATCAGAGGGGCAAACTTTTTCATATGTTGTTGGGCACCCAGCAACCCACAAAAACATATGATTTTAGTCTGTCAAATATCTTCATAGTTTTTTTTCTAATA